GTAATCACTTCTTTTCTCTATGGCTTGCCCTTACTTAGTCATGAATCGCTGTTTCCTAGTAGAATTTCTGATTAGATCTTTGATGGTTCTTTAGGAGTTGTCGTATTTCAAAGCTTTTGAAAAGCGTTTGACTGCTACGGATATCCTCAAGGAGGAGGAATTAAGCCGGTAAATTGATGCCTTTTATTTTTTGAATACGTGAGATTTTTTTTTTTTTGTGTTGAGGATTTCAGTTGCACAGTGGTTTCGGTTGAGGGATACGACACATCCCTTCGTCCATATGATATCAGGGCGATATTGACAAGGTATTTCGGTTCATGTGGAAACATTTGCGATGTTGTGATTCCCACATACCCTTCAAGCAGTGTTGTCGAGAGGTTTGCGTGTGAATTTTTCCCATGCAGCTCAAGTAGTTTAAAATCTAGCTCTAACAAGTTGTTTTTTCCCTTTTTTCTATAGAGTTGGTTTCATATTTTTCCGGGACGAAGGCGCGCAAGAGAAGGCCTTGGCACTTAGTGGAAGTAACGTGGGGTTTCCATTTCCTGGTATTCGGTTGGGAGGATGGGATGTATATGTTAAGGCTTGCCCGAGACATTCCTTTGCCTTAAGCCCTGATCAGGTGGCTGCTGCTCGCAGACTCATAAACGCAATTTATTACTGTGGCTTTGCCGTTACCGGATATCCCACTTCCCTTGCTGCGAATGATGTCAGGAGTGCATTGTTTAGGCTTTTCAGATCCTGTGGAGAGATCAGATACCTGACTGTCGAGGACGACCCTAGTCAACCCGGTCTTCTCCAAAGGTTTTGTTTGTGGCTTCTTCCTTTCTCCAATTTGCTTGTCATTTTTTTCCCACAGATAACTAATAAAACTCTCTTTTGATGAGTAGGTCCGGTTTTGTTAGTCTATCGGGAGAAGGCGCACTAGAGAAAGTTGTGGAACTTGATGGAAGTGACATGGGAGGATGGAATGTAGCTGTTCTGACTGAACCGAAACCAAATGAAATCACAGTCTCTCGTGCTAATCAGTTTAATATTGGTTGGGAAGGCCCACCTGGTACATTAAACTTGATTCTTGCTTCATCTTGATTACAAAGTTTGAACGTGTCATTAACCAAAATCCCTGGTTTATTTTAGGTCTTCGCTGGGTCGACCTTCATCCTTCTACTGCGAGCTCGGTTAACCCACTTGGTACGTGAACAGAACTTGATTCTTGGTTTTTGATTACAAAGTAGAACTTATCATTAACCAAAATCTCTGGTTTAATTTAGCTGATTGGCTGGGAAGGCGCATCAAGTAGAAGTCTCTCTCTCTCTCGAGGAAGCTCTTTGGTGTGTTTTATTTGTCATGCAATGCATTTTTTTTTTTTAATGTTTATTTTCTTTCTTCTGAACGGTAAAATATGCATGCTAAATATGATTCATGGTTTAACGATAGGATTTTGCATCTTTGTTAAACGATAGGATTTTGCATATCTTTGTTATATCTGAGTCCATGGTTTAAAATTTCAGTTGTGATTCAAATATTTTTGAAAGTCCAAAATATCCTATGTTCATTTGCTGCCGAAAAATGGTTTTCAGTGTTCGTTTGAAACAAAAACCAAAAATGTTAACTTTAGAGCTTGAATCAATGTTTTACAAAAATGTAGTTAAAAACTGAGTGAGGTTTAGAGTTTGGGACATGAAAGAGGTTTTTGAAGGTTGGAAAAACAGAGAAGTATGAGGGACATGCATTCCACAACTACACTAGGATCTTAGCAAAACAAATATTACACATTACAAAGGAGGGGTTTTTATTATTGTTATTAATTAAAGGAAAACCCATGAAGTTAGTGAAATCAATGATATGACAACATATTGATACCATAACAAAGAGTCAAACGAATTGACGTTGTATGTTGTCAATTGGATTTGAAGTTTTGTATGTAATAGTTTACCCATTGATATATAATCCACAAAA